GAAGAATCGCTGGAGCCCAGCAGGTCGAGGCTGCGGTGGCCAGGAGCAGCCACTGCACTCCAGTCTTCATGACTGAGTGAGACTCCAACTCAAAAATAAAAATAAAAAACAATTGACATTAATAAGAACTTGCATTCTATAATGAAGTTATAAGATAATCTATCTTAATGAATATGGGAGAGAATTATGCATTTTTAATCATAAATTTGCACATTTTTTAAAGAACAGTAATAGACTAACTTGGACAGAAAATGCAGAGATAAACACTCACTTCTCCATAATTAGTCCGAATGTGAATGGACTACTGGAAATTGGAGAAAATATCATGAGGCAACAATATATTGTCTTCAAGAGACTCATGTTACCAAAAGGACATTCATAGACTCAAAGTAGGAGGATGGGAAACAGTTTCAGGCAAACAGAACACAAAATAAAGCAGGACAACTGATGGTCTCTGCCCAGAGCTACTCCCTAGGGAGGCAAGAAGGTCCCTGAAGGAAAATATGCCAGCGCCCATATGGGTGGGAGAGAAAGTGCTTTGTTTCTTTTTCTTTTCTTCTCTGGTTGGCAAAGTAACTACACGAAGGACCTTGAGACACCAACAGCTACATGGTGCACATTTCTGTGCCTCTGGTGAGTCATCCCTCATTTATCATATGCACGCTCTTGGACCTACCTGGTTCAGATGACTTTCTGGGTCTCTCGAGATTTTCCCCATCCTGTCTTGGGAATTACCTCATAGTGATCCTATTGCCAAATCCTGGTACCAGGTCTTCCAAGACATGGTGGAGTATAGCATCCTGAGAGCTCCAGTGGACACAGGGATGGGAGGACGTTCTCTCCCTGGTGACTCACATCCTTTACACTGATTCCCTTGAACCTGTTGGGGACACCTGGCAGGGTATCTGGATGGCTATGGCCCAGAAACAAATCCATGAAACCAAGAGCTAATCCCAACTATATCCCTGTTTCCTTTTATTGCTGCTTTACAGCCCCAGCTCTGGCTCTGGCCCACCTTGCCCCAGCTGACATTTTCATTGGGTGGACAAGTACAGGGAAAATCCACAATATAAGCTGTGGAATGACAAAACCTGACCAAAAAGTGGCTCCTCATCTCCTAACACACTTCTGCAACTTGATTTGTACTTAAAAGGAAATGACAAATACCTTGAAATCCCATATATTCAAGCCCTTTATAAGTTAACTCACTACCTAGATATCTGTTCTTCTTGCCATATGTCTGTGTTGGCTCCCCAGACCCCACTGCCCATAGGCTTATCAGGATACTAATCCTGCTGACTTAACTGCCCCTCCCTCAAAAGATTTTCACACCCTTCATACTCTCCTATTCCTTTTACAATTCCAATTCCTGTTATCCCTCTAACAACTCAAATGCTAACCCAGCAGGTTTAACTTCTGTCTCTCTTGTAATCTACTTTTACTGTTCCACTCTCCGTCAGTTTCTCTTCCTTCTCTTCCTTCTTGCTTTCCACCCTTTACCTGTGGAGAAGGGACTAGCATCTATGACTGTGGCACCTAACCCTGACCTTCAGTCTTTCTCTTTTACCTGCAGAGGGGGAGCCAGTGCCAAAGGCCATGGCACCTGACCCCAACCTCTAGCCTCCTCACCCCCCTTGCCCCCACTGCCTAATAACCTCCTGGCAGTAACCCTACTAAATGCAACAAGTCAGCACCCCCATGTGTCCTTGGGGAGCCCATTCAGATTTCCACATGACTTAACAGGTTTCTTCTCAGGGGGGCAGCTGGGACAAAAGGATAGTAATGTTCTTTTTTTATAATAAATCTCTCTCAAGTTATATCTAAACTGAAACTATATCAACCTTCTTCCCAGACACAAGTAAAAAAAATCATGTAAATTAATCCTGTTAACTAATTACAAAAAGGTAAATTGTAATTTTAATTTACTTTTTCAATCAAACTTACAAGTGCTTTAGTGAAATTTTACTTCCAACCTTATCATGTGTTAACACATTGGTGCTAAATAACATCACTGTTTGTTAAAGGTAAAACTTTAAGTACTAGACACCCTGCCTGACATAATAAGGTTTGAAAACTGGCCATTCCCACCTGGTTAAGTCACTTTTACTAAGCCAAGTACTTCTGCTGGACAGGTAAAATACTGGGTACTATGCGTAAACACAATAAAAATGAAAACTAATCACTCTCACCTAATTGTCCACACTTTACAACTAAGACTACAATTTAATAATTCATAAGGGTTTTTAACAACTTTGCCTGTTCCTAATTATAAACAAGTAGGCACAGATCATTCCACATTCATGTGGTCTGCTCACTCGAAAGTGTTTTACATCAAACTGTTACAAACAGAAATAACCAAAAAGTCTTAAGTGTAGTCTGTTAAAAATAATTTTTGAGTTTTTTTTTCTAGCTGAGACACTAGAAAAGCAACAGGGTACCAACATGGAGGACTGCAGAACCAAAGGGCCAAGGAGGCATCCCAATTGGCAGTCACCTTTAGTGACAAAACTCCAACTGCCCATCAGACACCTGGTAAAAACAAACCTGCTAAGGGGATGGTGCCCATTGCTTATGTGTACAGTCTGTGGGAGAA